CGAGCACTTGTATTCTGCTCGGGGACTGGCGTCTGGTCGTTCGCCTGCTGAGGCCCAGGCGGAGTCCCTGCCATGGGCTCCTCCACGGCTGGTTGCTGAGCAGTTTGTCCCGCCGTTGTTGGTAAGGACGTTCCGCACCCAGCTAGCTGGTCGGGGCTTTCGGTGGACGCCGATCTAATACATTCAGAGACAAATTCAGAAGATAACAGCATCCAATGCAAGACGCAAAGCTTACATCAAAAAGTATAGATACTTACAGTTTTGACTTGCGAAAGGATGTGACGGCGAACGCGTCTCCTCGACCGCCTCGCCCGCTTGCTCGGCAAAGTGTCCATCGGGTTTGTGCAACCTCCGGTACGGGCGTCGGAGTATGATGCGGCGTGTTCCCTTCGTCTATGCTCTGTGTTGCAGTGGTCGGTGCTGTTACCACTGCTGGCACAGAGGAGCCACCCTGCTCCGACGGTCCCACCTGCTTTCTCCTCTTTCGGGGGACGAGCCGGAGGATATCCGCATCCTCTTCTTCGTCGTCCGACAGGGGGAAGATGGCTTGACGTCGTTTGCTGGCAGCCGGACGCTTGCCAGCGGCTCTAGTCGAGGCGTCCTCTACGGTCTCGAGTACCGCCCAGTGAACGTCATCGGTCCGGGCGCTGGTCTGGGCGGCTGGCCCAGTAGCTTGTGGCCATTCTACACCGGGGGGAGGCGACACAAACACTCCTGCCCGGTCTCGACCATTACACTGAGACACAAAATGAAGTAAAAGACAGTTATTTTCTTGATGCGACATGATTCTACAGTTAAAAGGTGGCGTCATTTACCTTTGGGGGAGGGCGAGCCAGCTTGAAGGCGTGTTCGATGGCGTCCAATGCAACATAATTGGGATCGGCCAGGTTGAATAGCTCTCCAATCCTGGCCTTGATTTCCACCTTGTCGAGCGGCTCCTCCTCGGTCCTCGTCGGATCGGCCGCCTCCTTGGTACTGTGAGTCGGGTGAATCCTTTTCCGGCAGTGGCTGGATTCTTCTACCGATGAAGTTGCCGACAACGCCGGGCCATCAAGCCTTCCCCACGGATCATCCCAGCAGTTCGGTGATCCGCTCCAAGTTCTCGGGTTTCTCCGACCAGTGCTTTTCTTCTCCGGAATCAGTCCCACATCGCATGTGAGTGATGGTGTTCGGCTCTTCACGGATGTAGAACCATTTCTTGTACCACTCGCCCAAGGAGGTGTTCCAGGCGGCGCAGGGTATTGAGCCTTCATGCCGCCACGCTTGAGTTCAAGTAAACGCCACCGGCGATTTTCGAGCCACCGCTTCCCTTTCTTCCAAGATGTAATAGGTGGCGGAAGAGGTCGAAATGGGGTTGGAAGCCACCATAAGCCTCGCAGAGATGGATGAAGGTGGAGACAAGAAGAATCGAGTTGGGATGCGATTGCAAATCCCAATCTCGTAGTACAAGCAGAGACCTCAAGGAAAGGGTGCACTGAAATCCCAAAACCCCGCTTTGAAGAAATCTTCAAAGACCACAATCTCACCTGGTTGTGGATCGGGAAGCTTTCTCCCTACCGGTGCACGCCATCCCATAAGTGCCTTGTTGTGGAGCACCCCATGGCGACGAGGTCCTCGATGGTCCGCCGCTGTTCGTGATTTCCACCATTCCTTCGCCATGACCCGCTTTTCTTCGGGCGCCTCCTTCGCCATTAGGTCGTGCTTCCTAAGTGGGTGGATGCAGGAGACCAAGGGATTGGTGATGCTTTTTGGGGCAATAGGGTTCGGCAGGAGGAAGAAGAAGGTTGCGCGGCGGATGACAATGGGGAACGGTATGAGTAACACAGATCGCATTATATAAAACAACGAGCCCCGCTGCTTCGGCCCGCCCGAGAATATTGGGGGTCGTGCGACGCTTGCCGCAGAGGGTTGTTCACACAACTCAAAATCGCGCCAATAAATGCGCTTACTTCATTAATAATTGTACGCGCCCCGTTGATGGTGTAAGGAGGCCCACACCGACACACCTCAATACAGTGTCAATCAACCGCTTGCAAAAAAAAAAAAAAAAAAAAAAGACAGAATGACGCATCGCACCTATTGACTTTTTTGACCGAACGTGTCGATCGGGTCTTGGCGAGAGAATAGAGAAAAGTACACAAAATAATAGTACAAGCAGCGCAAGTGATCGTGGATTTGTTTTGACCACTCATCGTGCTTGGATAACGCCTGCACCACTAATGTGCTCGGGACCGCATGCACCACTCACTGTTCTCAGACCACTTTTTGTGCTCGGGATTGCTCGACACGGCCGCCGTGCTCGGGACCGCCCCACCACCGCTTGAATAATGGTTCTCCTTGGCTACATGTGATTTGTACTCACATACGCTTAAGAGACTTTTTCTTTTAGACCTTGCTACAAGGCTCATACTCGCCTTCCAAAGAAGCTCGGGGACTACATCGGTACGATGCACCTGCCGGTGCATCTCGTATCGCTTGTACGACGATTGGATTCTCAACTTAACCGGGAATTCTTTTTTAGACCCTGGCACCACGTGCTTCACGTCACTACTACTACCGTGCTCGGGGACTAGTGGGTACACTTCACCTTGCGGTGAATGTGTTTGTTTTTCAACCCCCACGCCTCGATGATCGAGGATGCTACGCTTCAAGACGCACTTACATTTCTTTTCGTAAATACAAGTGGGCACACTCTCGTGACAGTAAATCTTTTTTTTTTTTCTTAAGAGCACCATACATTCTTCGGACAACCTACTTCTCCGGTGATGACGGTGGTCGGAGGCGTCAAGAATTCAAGCCTTGCTTGTCGGAGAAGGTTAAAATGGCGTGTCGCAAAGATAATACATGATGCTCGGGGACTAGCCGTGGGGGTATTAACCCTATACCCTTACGGCTAAGCTTGGGTTGGCTGGATCGATAGGTTCATCCACCGAAAGATGACGTATGCCCGCTTAACTCCGATCGAGTCCCGCACAAGGAATCAAGACGGATTTGGCGACCAAGCAGGATCCTCGGTCGATTAGAATAGAATCCTTATCCGCCACATATGGCAATTGTAACCGACTAGGATTAGTTTCAGATCTCGTAACCCCGCCCCGGACTATATAAGGCAGGCGGGGACCCTCTAAAATCATCTCTCATTGACATACAAAGAATACAAATCGACGCAGGACGTAGGTATTACGCCTTCTTGGCGGCCGAACTGGATAAAACCTCGTGTCTGTCTTGCGTCACCGTCTTGTTTGGGACTTGCGCACCTGTCTGCCGATAATCTACTACCTTGGGCATACCCCTAGGTAGACTGCCGACCATATTTCGTCGACAATAATCAACATCCCTCAGTTTGGTAGAAACAGGACACTTCGGCACATCTTCAATATACATATCCTCCTCATCAAGCCCCAAATGCTCATTCTCAGGTAGGGTTCACAAGAAATTTGTCTTCATCATCACAACCTCCTTTTGTCAGTGGTAATTTGGGTAGGTTGTGTATCTTGAGTACGATCTGGTTGAGAAGGAGTTGGCATGGAAGGGGTGCAAGGAATTTGTAAAGATTCAGAGCTTGTGGATTGGTACCAATCAGGTATGATTGGTGATTCAATTGTTGGCTGGTGGTAGGAAACATACATAGAAATGGTCTTTGTACTCAGATGTTTAGCAAACATTTTCAGCAGATCTTGGTCAGTACATATTTGGATGCTTATTTTGGATTCATGGCAGTAGTAGTAAACTTTCACTAGATCCCCATAAGAACAAGGATACTTCTGCAATAGCTCATTAACGAAGTCTCTGAAATCTGTGGTGTCCGAATCTACTACTTTGGTCAGTTCATACCACTTGCATCGAGTATTTGTACCAAGCAATTTGATTTCAAGTAAAAAACTTGAATTTGGGTCCATCCTAAGTCATTCAGAGGCAAGGGCATATTTGACCTTTCAACCAGGACCAAACGGAGAGAGCCCACGAGTTAACAGGCACATTAGCAAAAGTCGACAACAGTGGCACCCGAGGGATTTTTTTTCAAATGGAGTACAAGAGTCAAAATGATTATTTGAAGGGCAATAGAAGGGCTGTCATTTTTTGGGGGGCACACAAGGAATTCTCTCAAACATGCCCCCCCCCCTGCGGAGAATTTAGCCTATATGAATATGGGGCCTGCATGTCCCGGCCCTACCCGGAGGCCCAATATCCACCCTAGCACACACACAGCCCGACCTTCCACTGCTGTGCCAAGCGTCCCTGCTCCTGCTTCTACTCTGGTAGTTTGGCTAGCCCTAGTCGCTCACCGGCCATCGCCCAAGCAGACTAGCACCTCATCTAGCCATCCCCAAGGGCCAAGGCCATGGCCAGCGACCCCAAGCCCTAGCCCCTAAGGAGGAACGACGCCCCTGGGTCCAGGTTGCATGTGCCCAGCTGGTCAGCGCCCCATCCAAGGGGAACAACGGCCTTAGGTGACATCTAGCATGTTTTCATCAGGCCAAGCGGCCATGGCTCTCATCCCCCAGTCGGTGGTCTATTAGTGTTAGTTGTTGTAGTGAGCCAATGAGGTAAAAAATGTTCCATTGTCTTTTGCCTAGTACTTCAGTCCATGTTCGTCTCATTTTGATTGCTAGTAGCGATGATTAGTTCTGATAATTGATTCTAAATTGTTACATTGAGCAGAATTTGTTTGCATATAGAAGCTGCATGTTAAATTTTCCCCATACAATGAGTGGTATGTATTGTGATCCTTCATTTCAATTTATATCCTTATCTTGTTCATGTGAAGTAGTATGAAACTTGTAAAATAGAATTGATGGTAGGCAAAACAATGCGGTATGAGCACTCTGAATTTATATTGTTATTTTTGTTTATTGTTACATCTATTATGTTATTTAGTCTGCCACTAATAAAAGGCTGATTATATATATATATATATATATATATATATATATATATATATATATATATATATATATATATATATATATATAAGAGTTCAGAATGCTATAATTGATGGAATGGGAAAATGTGTGACCCTCATGATATCTGGCAGTGGTGGGTACCTCCTCTACCTGAGGTCCATTTCGGACAGGCAAGACAAGTTAGAAGCATGTCAGGCTAAGATAAAAGAGGAGAGTGAGAAGGCGCTTGCTGAGCTCAAGGCCGAGGTAGCTCGTACAGATGAGTCTGTCTCTCGGTACCAGGAGGAGTCGGAGCTGAAGCATCAAAAGCTAGAGATTGAATTGAGAGAGCTCAAGTTTCTCAAGGAGTTATGGATGTCAATTGTATTCCAGGAAAGTTCCAAGACGGAAGTTGAAGCCAGGAGTGAATGAGTGAATCACTATACTATATGGAAGCCTTCATAAGATATTTTAGTTTACCTAACATTTTTCTGCAATTCACACAGAGGTCCTTCTCTTTTATTTGATTCGGTTTGATAGCTTTTGGATCGACATATAGGAGAGGTTATACTGAAACTATAACCTTTATATTTTTCAGTTGCATTTCTATCACATTTTGTTGAAACTATAGCACTATTTTTTAGCATCGAGGAGCATTTTGTTAAGAAGTCAGTATGGCACCTTTGTCTGATATTCACTGATTGATAATTCAAAAAACTAACTAAACTTAGACACACGAGGCACTAATCTTGCAGGTGGGGTTAGCTAAGATAAAAAAAAGAACTTGAATACTATCCCACTCCTCTTAGGGGTCATATATAGAATGAGGAAGGGTGTATTTTTGCTCTCTACCCATAGCAGGGAACAAAAATAAAATCTAAGACCCTGAGCTGACTTCTCTTATAGGACAAAAGTGAGGTTATATAGGTCCATCAAGGGGAAAAATTTCCTATTTACCCAACACTTGTTTGTCAAACTATTTCCACAAGGTTTCATGGTATAGTGAGTACTAATTTCATGGTTGTAGAGACTCCTACCTAGAGTGCTAACTATAGGTCTTTTATCACCGACTATGATTATATAGTGTGTTACGTGTAGTAGATCTAGATAGTAGCACACGAGACACATATATTATATCGGTTTAAGCATACCCGATGTCCATCGTACCATGGTGTTGTATTGTTGGTGCATTGTATGTTGACCAACATTAGGGTTGCAAAGTTGCATCCAAAGTACTGATCAGGGAGCTCCCTACTACTCCTTATAATATTCTAGAGTAATAAGTTTACTGAGAGATCTATCCTAATCAGTTTATAGATTGATTTCCTCATCATTATTTATCACATCTCGTCAATCAGGCTGGCCAAGCCTATGTTTAGGGTCCGATTTTGTCCTTCATATTGATACCCATGGGCTATGTAACCATTGGTTTAATTGTTTTGTTTTTATTCTATTTTCCCCTCTTTTTGCCTAAATTCTTACCTCTCTCTTTGTCTCTCGTTTCATTCTAGTTACTTGTGCATTGATAACATGCATATTGTGTTGCATTTTATCAATGTAATTCCAAGCTATAATTGATCTATCTGCATCCAGGATAGATTGGAAATGAAGAATATTATTAGGGGCTCTGGATTTACTCTAGTACTCCGTATATCTTTCTTATTACTCTAGTACTCCGTATATCTTTCTTATTATCCAGAGGTTTGGATGTAAACAGGGACATAATTGTCCTATCAGATTAATAGAATTCCTTTCCATTTTCAAAAAAAATTATGATGTTAGGCATTGGCACTTGCTATTTTTCAAAAAGGTTGGCTCCTGTGTTGTGTCATCAAGAATAGTGAATTCTAATCCTATACAGGAAGGAGGCTGCTAATCTTGTACTGCTTTTTTTAGAAGATAGCAGGGGCAAAGCCCTACTGATTAAAATATATTATAAAAGCTAGGTTCCCAAACAGAAACAAAAAGATGACAAAAATTAAACGCACGGAGAAAGTTTAAGAAAGAAAAAAAAGGTGGTAGAGAAAATTATGTAGGTAACAAAAGACTTTCTATCCATGACATGCGGCACGGCATGCAACACAGAGCTGCTGCTTGGTTCTTGCGAAAGCTACGTCAGCCACATCTCTTTTCAGCATAAAACTCCGCCACATGCACCGCGGTAGCCCAACGTGCCCCTAATCTCGTAGTATTTATGGTTTAGTGATGGTTTGTACCTTATTTGAATAAAGTTTTGTCGGCAATACTGCAAGATAGATGCAGTCCATGGATCCAGAGAACAAGCAATGTGTGTTCGACCACTGGAAACTAAAAATTTCATGTCGGTATAAACGCCACCGACAGGGAAAAATCCAACCAACAGAAAAAAAACTAATTCCCTATCGCTTTAGTTCTATCAGAATTTTGCTATCGGTATGCCGACAGAAAAGTATGCATTTTTTCTGTTGGTGTTTTACCGACAGGAATTTTTTTGTTTCCGTAGTGAGCTTTAGAGCTTACAGGGGGGCTAGCTGCTAGCACCATATATATACATACTCTGTTTCTTGTATGAGTAAAATTGAATAGTTACGTGCCTCCAAAAGCGCCTGCAACCTACAAAGTTGGTTGAGAGAGGAACCATCAGCTCGTAGCCATGCCAATAAACGGGCGTGATCGGCAGTGACTGCTGCAGCCTGCAGTAGCACCGCGACTGCTGCAGCAAGTCAGCAACCACACTCACCAAAGTCACTGTAGAAAACAAGCAAAAAAGCTGCAGCATTTGCCTTTGCAGACGGTTCCGAGGTGCTGTGGATTCTCTGCTTGCATGTGCATGTCCAACAGTGCTAAAACGTAGAATGGAGGGAGATCTGCTTTGCTTGCGTTGATGCAGAGGAGTTCCGTCAGTCTTGCACAAATATGTGGCCTGGTCTTAATATTATTATTTTATATATATTGCTCAGGTAGGTATATATTGTATTGTATATTATATACAAAGTGGAAGAACATAGTCAGTTAATATTTGTTCGTGGTCTTGGACTTGAACGTGCACATTCATTCAGGCTACAGCATTCAGAGGGAGGGAGGGAACTAGGAGCCTGCTGTGCTCCTACTCGGCTTCGGCTACTCCTACATATGATCTCTCATCTATCTACTTATATGATCCAGACCCGATTTCCGAAACGCCCGATCCGTCCCTTCCGTGCCGGAGCCGAAGCGGAGTCGTAGGAAACTAGGAATATATGTCGTACTAGTACGTAGATAGATGGAATAGGGAGTATATATAGGAGGAGATAGGAGATCAGGACTCAGGAGAATCCAACTCACACACAATCCTAGCCAAGCTAGCCTTCTTCTATTCGATTTGTCTATCTATGTATCTATAGGACGAACAAGATCCATCGCATCGGTGGTGCTTCCGTGGTGGGAATGGCAATGGCAGGAGCAGCGATCCTTCGTTCTTTGGCCACCAAGACGATGGCCCGCGCACAGCCTCGCCTTCCATCTGCACTGGAGCACCATGGCCGCCTTCCAACAAGCTCCGGTGGCCTTTGGCTTTCTAGATTCTCCACATCTACTGGTGGTTCCATGCCGCCAGTTGCCAACCTCAGGGTACGCTGCTCCTCTTTGATTTGAGTACCCTGCTCCTCTTTGATTTGGTTTGGTTTGGTTTGATAGCCTTTAAATTTGGTCGACACAGAGGATGGTAATTAATACATCATGCATCTTTCTTCCTTCCATATAATTTTTATTAGAAACAAGTAGGTGAGGGAAAAAACATTTCTTCTTGTTTCTGTTAGGTAATCTGCTGCTCTCCTAGGTTGCGGCAAGGGTAGGCGTCGAAAGTGCTCCCCTACTGCTGCACTGTAACCGCTGCAGGGACAGATGCCGAAAGGCTCACCTAGTGCACTGTAGCCACAGCGGGGATAGGCGCCAAAGTCAAACCTACTGTTACATCTAGTCACTGTAGTAGCATGGTAACCTGACATGTCTGTGCACTAGGATTAGATGTGTAGAGTTATATATATAGCTTCCCACTGCAACTCAGTAAAGTGAGCGGGTTCAGTTTTGCTATCTCCTCCGCAGAGCTCCGGCTAACGCTGGTGGTTATGCTGTGTGTGTGCGCGCTCTGTTCTCCCTTCCTTCTTCTACCTCTAGGCATAGTGTATGGTCGACAACGCCGGTGAGCGGTCGACTCACCCGCGCCTAAGATCCAGGGGCCAACAAGTGGTATCGAAGCCATACAAGCGCCATCGCCGGACTAACCGCTGGTGATGATGGACGGTTTGGAGATGGGCAACAGCAGCGGTGCTGTTGTGGCTACCTAGCCACGACAGGAGGTCGTCGTGCGCACGGTGCGAGAGGTTAGCGGTACTAGTTGGCCGACGCTGACTCGCACCAACTATGGCGAGTGGGCGGTGACCATGAAGGTCAAGCTCAGAGCCCGACAACTCTAGAATGCTATTGACAAGGGCACCGACAATGAAGAAGATGACATGTCAGCGTTGGAGGCTATCCTCACTGCTGTGTCAGCGGAGTATAGGGAGCCGTTAGAGGCAAAGAACTTTGCTAAGGAGGCGTGGGAGGCCATTGCAGCAATGCGCAACGGCCCAGCTGCTAAAGCTGGAGTACGCCACCCTCAAGTTCAAGGATGGAGAGTCGGTGGAGGACTTCTCCCTCCGCCTGCAGTCGCTCATCAGCAAGCTGAGAGCCACGGTGTCACCATTGACGAAGAAGAGACGGTCTCCAAGTACCTCCACTCCGTGCCGGTGAAGTACATCCAGATCGCTCTCTCCATAGAGATGATGCTGGACTTGTCCACCCTCATCATTGAGGATGTGACATGCTGTCTATGGGCGGTGGATGAGCGCATGGAGCAGGCCATAGCAATGACGGACAGCGGCAAGCTGCTACTGACAGAGGAGGAGTGGGCTGCCCGAAAGAAGTCCAGGGAAGCCTCCTCCAGCTGCGGCGGCGATGGCAAGCGCCTCGGCAAGGCTTCTTCGGAGAAGAAGAAGAAGGTCGACCCCAACGCCTGTTGGCGCTGCGGGAAGACGGGCCATTGGGCAAAGGAGTGCCCAAATCGCAAGTAGGAGAAGAAGGTTGAGGCTCATTTAGCGCAGGCTGATGAGGATGATGAGGCCACTCTCCTGATGGAGACGTTCTGTGCATTGCACGACGTTGAGGCCAAGGAGAAGGGAGAGATGATGGCGGTGGAAGGGCACGACAAGGCTCTGAAGGGTGTCAACCTCGATGAACCACGCGCCCAAGTCCACCTCAGACGTGTGGGCGATGGACAGGAGCAGCGGTGGTACCTAGACTCCGGCGCCAACAACCACATGTCGGGCTCCAAGGAAGCCTTCTCCGAGCTTGACGACAACATGACCGGCACGGTGAAGTTTGGTGACGGCTCAAGGGTGGCAATCCAAGGGCGCGGCACCATCATCTTCAGGTGCTAAAACGGCAAGCACCGTGCGCTAACGGATGTATATTACATCCCGCGGCTGTGTTTAAGCATCATCAGCATTGGACAGCTAGATGAGCGCGGTAGCAAGGTACTGATCAAGGACGGTGTCCTCAGGATTAGGGACTGGGAGCAGCACCTTCTTGCCAAGATGAAGAGGTCCCAGAATCGGCTGTACCTGCTCGACTTAAAGGTGGAGCAGCCGGTGTGCCTAGCAGCATGGCACACTGAGGAGCCATGGCTGTGGCATGCCTGGTTCGTCCATCTCAGCTTCGACGTGCTGGGTCGGCTAGAGAAGATGGTCCGAGGGCTGCTCCACATCAAGCACGCAGGCGAGTTGTGTGACAGCTGCCTGGCCGGGAAGCAGAGAAGGCTGTCGTTCCCAAAGGTGGCCAAGTATCACGCGACAGACGCTCTCGAGCTCGTCCACGGTGATCTCTGCGGGCCAATCACGCCAGCCACAAACGGTGGTCGGCGGAACTTCCTCCTGCTCGTGGATGATTGGAGTCACTATATGTGGCTGCAACTCCTGATGAGCAAGGATGAGGCGGTGACGGTGGCGATCAAGAAGTTCAAGGCGCGCGCGGAGGCGGAGAGCGGCAAGAAGCTGTGCATGCTGAGGACTGATCGCGGCGGTGAATTCACTTCGGTGGAGTTCGCTGCGTACTGCGCGAATCAGGGTGTGGTGCGACACCACACCGCTCCATACTCGCCATAGCAGAATGGCATGGTGGAGCGGCAGAACCAGACGGTGGTCGGCATGGTTCGATCCATGATGAAGGCCAAGAGCGTGCCGGCAAGGTTTTGGGGTGAGGCGGTGACCACGACGGTGTTCATCCTCAACCGCGCGCCCACCAAGGCCCTAAAGGGCAAGATGCCGTTCAAAGCTTGGTATGGGCGCAAGCCGAGCGTGTCCTTCCTCCGGACATTCGGCTACATCGACCACGTCAGGAAGACGAAGCTGGTCCTCACCAAGCTAGAGGACAGAAGCACACCGTTAGTGCTCCTGGGCTATGAGGAAGGTACCAAGGCATACCGGCTCTACGACCCATGCGGAGGCAAGGTGGTTGTCTCGCGCGACGTCATGTTCGACGAGAAGGCAGCCTTGGACTGGAACAGTCCAGGCACGGGGGAAGCAAGCAGCTTCACCAGCACCTTCGTCGTCGAACACTTGGTCATCCACGGTGGTGGAGACGCTGGAGAGGAGGTGCCAACCACTCCAGCAACAGAGCCAAGCACTCCTAGGGCGGTGCCGAGCACTCTGGGAGGGGTGCCGAGCACTCCAGGAGTGGTGCCGAGCGGTCCTGCAGTGGTGCTGACCACTCTAGGACGGGTGCCGAACGCTCCCGTAGCGGAGACAAGAAGTCTTGCAGTGGTGCCAACCACTCCAAGACTGGTGCGGGGCACTCCTGTAGTGGTGCCGACTACTCCAGGAGTGGTGACGAGCGGTCTAGGAGTAGTGCCGAGCACTGCAGCCGGGGTGCCGAGCACTCCAGGCGCTGTGCCGACCTCTCTGGCGGAATAGGGGACTCCATCGACGCCGATCGATTTTGCCTCACCTCCAAGCGACATCACCGAGTTCGTGGATACCTTCCACGATGGTGAGGAGGTGTGGTTCCGTAGGCTGTACGACATCGGCGGCGGCACGGGGTCCTCAGGCCTGGTGGGTCGGCTACTCAATGACTCAGAGCTACTTCTCATCAGTGCAGAGGAACCACCCACGTTCGCGCTGGCCGAGCTCGATGTAAATTGGCGACGGGCGATGCTGGAGGAGATGAAGGCGATCGAGAAAAACAAGACTTGGGAGCTCGTCGATCCACCTCCAAGATGCCGTCTGATCAGCCTGAAGTGGGTGTACAAGGTCAAGCAGGACGAGCGCGGTGCCATTGTCAAGCACAAGGCCCACCTCATCGCCCGAGGCTTTATCCAGCGCGAGGGCATCGACTTCGAGGAAGTCTTTGTGCCGGTAGCGCGCATGGATTCTGTTCGACTGCTTCTGGCTTTGGCAGCAGCGAAGGACTGGCGCGTCCATCACCTGGACATAAAATCGGCCTTCCTCAATGGCGAGTTGGCAGAGACGGTCTTTGTCAAGCAACCTCCGGGTTTCACCGTCAAGGGAGCGGAGCACAGGGTGCTCCGACTGCGCAAGGCCCTCTACGGGTTGCGGCAGGCCCCGCGAGCGTGAAACGCTAAGCTTGACACCATGCTGGGCGAGCTTGGGTTCATGCGGTGCGCAACCGAGCACGCGCTCTACACATGGCGATGGGGGAAGGAGGAGCTCATCGTCGGCATATATGTGGATGACTTGATCATCACCGACACGCATGCGGAGGACATCGACAGCTTCAAGTGTAAGATGGCGGCTCGTTTTCGAATGAACGATCTTGGCGCATTCTCTTACTACCTCGGCATCGAGGTGAGGTAGAGGAAGGAGGCGCTCATGCTCGGTCAGAGCGCGTACGCCTTGAAGCTATTGGAGTGGAGCGGCATGGCTGAGTGCAAGCCGTGCGCGACTCCAATGGAGGAGCGGCTGAAGCTGACGAAGGCCAGTACCGCGGCGAAGGTAGATGCAACACTCTATCGGAGCATCGCCGGCGGTCTGCGCTATCTAGTCCACACGAGGCCGGACATTGCGTTCGCCGTGGGCCATGTCAGCTACTTCATGGAGGATCCCCGAGAGGATCACTGGGCTGCGGTGAAGCGGCTGCTATACTACGTCAAGGGAACGGTGGATCAGGGGATTGTCTTCCTCAAGACCAGCGGAAGTGGGATACAGCTCACTGTGTTCAGCGATACAGACATGGCGGGGGACATCGACGGACGGCGGAGCACCTCTGGCGTGCTCATCTTCCTCGGGTCGGCTCCAATCTCATGGTTGTCGCTGAAACAGAAGGTGGTGGCGCTGTCCACGTGCGAGGCAGAGTACGTGGCGGCGACCACTGCGGCGTGCCAAGCTGTGTGGCTGCGCCGGCTGCTGGGTGAGTTGACCGATGTGGAAGCTCACCCACCAGCACAGATGGTGGACAACCAGCCCGCCCTCGCCCTCGCCCTCGCGAAGAATCCAGTTCTCCACGACCGGAGCAAGCACATCGACGTTAAGTTCCACTTCCTCAGGGACTGTGTCGATGGAGGGCAGATCGTCATCGAGTTCGTCGAAACTGGTCGGCAACTCGCGGACATCCTCACCAAGCCGCTCGGCTGTCTTCGGTTCATGGAGCTGAAGAAGATGATCGGCATGGTGGAGGTTCTAGACTTAGCATCAGGATTAGGGAAAGAATTGTTATGTAATCTGCTGCTCTCCTCTGTACGGCGCGACAGGGACAGACGCCGAAAGGGCTCCCCTACTGCTGCACTATAGCCGCTGCAGGGGCAGGCACCGAAATGCTCACCTGCCGCACTGTAGCTACAGTAGGGGCAGACGCCAAAGTCAGCCCTACTATCACATCTAGACACTATAGCAGCATGGCAACTTGATATGTTTGTGCACTAGGATTAGATGGGTAGAGTTGTATATATAGCTTCCCACTGCAACTCAGTAAAGTGAGCGAGTTCAGTCTTGCTATCTCCTCTGCAGAGCTACGACCAACGTTGGTGCTTGTGCTGTGTGTGTGCGCACTCTGTTCTCCCTCCCTTCTTCTACCTCTAGCCATTGTGTGTGGTCGACAACGCTGGTAAGCGGTCGGCTCACCTGTGCCGAAGATCTAGGGGCCAACAGTTTCGTCAATCTAAAACTGAAACAATAAAGGTTGTGAATCTCATACAAACTTTTGCTTAACTTAATTTTATTTATTGATGTTGGCCCTGTTCGCTGGGAGGAATTTAGAGGAATCTGGATGGTTTTGGATGAATCTGAAGGAATTTGTGAGAGGAAAATACTGTTCCGAATGAAAAAAGAAGCGGATCAAACCGGGTTTAAGGGCACGCGAACGGGGCCGTTACTTGTTATACTATTTTTAAGCATTAATTATATTGCCGTTTGGCATATGCTACCATATTCCCTTGAGAAAGGATAGAATAGAAGATTTTTTTTAAGGTTACCAAGCCCAGTCATTTAGGGCCTTAGCTGTTGATCTGGGTTGTTTCCCTCTCTCTACCATGAAGCTTATCCCCCATCGGCTCACACTCACCCAACTGACCCCCTGTTGTCATATCTATCATTATAGGCTATATAAAACCTAAATTACTATTGAATTTTCGATGTTGACATGTTTGTTGTCACATTCATGATACTAGGTATTACACTACACGATCACATTCACATTTGATCCTTTACTTGAGATTAGTAATATCCATGGTTGATTTGTGTCATGCCAGCTCTATGCGACCACGTGCATGATCATGATAACCTTCATATTACTGGTATTGATGATGTTGTTTGTTCTATTATGTTTCTTAGGGGCCTCAAACTGATATCAAGAAAGTTCGCAGTGGCAGTGACTGGGACCGGTATGACTTCTTGTTCCAATTTTGGGATCTATAAAGAAACAAATGACCAATTGTACCTTAGTATGAATTATTTATCACTCTTACACTTATCATTTTCATTTCAGGGTAAAGACCGCAGCCATAGAAGCTACAACCACATGTGCTTTCTTCACAGTTGTTGGTGGCGTCATTGTTATATATGGCTGGGTTAATCCGGCACTGGATCGTATCAATGCCAACTTGGAAGCTAGTAATCGACTTGACATGGAAATAATGGATGAGATAAAACGCGGTCATCAAAGGATTCGTGAGCATTGTGGTTCAAGCGAAAGTTAGATTGAAGCTTGAGATTTGGTGGGTGAGTTTTTCTGAAGGTCAAAGCATAAAAACATTGAGTGTGTAATGCCTGAAGTTTCAAACTTTTGTTATCTTTGATCAATGATTAACCTAACAAAGTAACAGTATGGAAGATTCTGTGACAAAAAATGTAGCATTTGTTTATTACATCAAAATTACTAATCTAAGACCATGGTTTTGCTTATATAGGAATAAATATATGAGGTAACGACTGAAATTCTGTTTAGGGATTGCACCGAATTGAGCAGTGCCTTACATTCCTGAATGGTTGAAGCAATAGTCCCAAATAAACTACCATCGAATAGAAATGGATGTTAGATGATCTACTATCGTGCACATTGGCATTTTTTAAAAGTGTATATGCAAACCAGATCTATTTGTATACTTCCTCTCTTCCAAATGATAAGACGTTTTGGCACTTACAGAACTTTTAACTTTTTTACGACATATCTAGACCTAGTGTATGTATATATAAGCGCATAGCAAAAGCTATGTGTATCTTAAAAGGCCAAAATGTCTCATAATTTGAAATGGAGGAGTATCATATTTAATGGTTTAATAATTGTGTTATTTTGGTGTGTAAGTTTGCTTTAGTTGTTAGAAACACAACTGGTTTCATTTTCGCTATTGTGCAACTATAACATATACGATTTGCTGCACTTTTCATCACTGCAACTGCTAACTGTTATATTGATATATGTGTCTAGGACAAGGGGCAGGGAGCATATGGGACCCAAAGCTTGGATGTTCAATCATTGCCTAGGCGCAGAGCTTTCTTGTGCCTTCAAAAAGTGACTAAACAATGTCTTGTGCTTAGTTAATGTATTTGTGATATACTATGTTGCTTAATTATTGCACAGTTACATTATCAATGGTTTAAGTCAAAGGTGTGCCTGTATTCTGCCAGTTGTCACTGAGAAATTTCCATTGGTCACGGCCCGCAGGTGCTTGTTAGCACTTAGCAGAAGCCCGTATGTGATGTTTTTACTGTCCTGGACGATACCTGGTCGTAGAGTCCACTTTGTCTTGACTTCGTTTGGTATTCTGACGGCTTCAGGATTGGACATGGTCATTCACTCATTCTGCAGGTTCTAGTTGTAAAATTCAGTTTTAACGTATACAGTATACAATCTCGAATGCGCAGGAGAGTTGCGCATTGTATTATAGGGAGGAAAAAAACTCAGTTTTAATTAAGTTTTAAACGTATACAGTATACAATGAATCACGACACATGCTAGTCGGTCACACTGACAGAATAGATGTATAGATGTTCAGTCGTCACATTGACATATTTGGTGTTATTAGATTCAGTGATGATCTTTTTATTCGCGATCTATTTATTTTAGCAACCCAGGTTTGGTGGTTTTGGTACAACCGAACCGTACAAGTATGTTGGTGTTGGGACTTGAGAAGAATCCATCCAACCATCTTTTGCCATTGTGCAAGTGATGATCCTGGGCTTCCTTTTGCCTTTCTGCAAGTATTTTGCCATAGCACATTACATTATTAACCGGGAAACTTTTTTTGGAGACTTTACTGAAAATTGATAGCCTTTGTGAACTTATCTGGTTTCGCTAGTTAATCTGAATGAATCAAAAATAAATTAGAGTACATCGTTGGCTCATGTAAGCAAGACATTGAGTCGAATAATACTGCACTACTGCTGCTTACTTTTCACACTGCATAAGATTCAGACAGCAACGTAAATAAAGAGGCAATAAACCCAGGGACCAAAATCCTTGTGCAATCTCATCTCATCTCAAATATATATGAAATCGACACAACTTGTAAACTTTGAATTTCCAATCTTCATTCGCATGCGTGCATTATTCAGAACTAAGAGCCTGCTCCTCCTACACGTGAATGATGTCGCATGGCTGGAACAAGCAAACAGCGCGTGATGGAAAATACATATGACCACGAGCATGCGTGCGAACTGAGCGTGCGTCCGTCAGGAGGTGAACGCCCCAACATTATTTATCACTCTTCCACTTGTCATTTTCATTTCAGGGCAAAGGCCGCAGCCGAAGAAACTACCATCGTGGACTTGAAAGCGGAAATCGCCGAGCTCAAGATTGCAATGGATTCAGCTCGTTCTCAAGGAAAGGTGTAGATGAGAGGGGTCTTGCATTAGAATCGGTTTGGTTGTTTAAGGAATCGTGTAGTTGTTAGTTAGTTACCGAGGGCGTCAATAATTTACTTATTACTCCCTCAGTTCCAAATTATATGTCGCTTTTACTTTTCTGCTTCATCCATTTTACTATGTGACATAATATTATATCTAGATGCATAATAAAATGGATGTAAAAAAAGTCAAATGCCTTATAATTTAAAACAGAGGGAATAATATATATGTGTATCGCTAAAAGATGGTTCACCCTGTCAAGGTTGTATATGATCATTGCACTGACTTCGTAGGTGACGGTCCATGCGTTGCAACAGGCATACAAAGTTTGCATGATCTTTTTTACTGGAGATTTGTTTATTTTAGCAACACTGGTTTTGGTACAGCCGTACAAGTATGTAGGTGTTGAGACTTTTGAGAAGAATAGCTTCCATCTTTTGGCAATCGTGCAAGTCTTTTGCTATTCAATCAGTGTTCTTTTTTTTATGGAATTATACAGCCAGTGTTCTCATCTCGAAGACATAAGCACAAGACATTATTTATTTATTAGGAGTAATAACTGGAAAATACGAGACTTTATTGAATTGAGCCTTTGTGAACTTATATCTGGTTTAGCTAGTTTCCTATGTCATTATAATTATTATATGGCCCTAATGGCACACAAGAATGAGTACATAAGAAATTAGAGTACATGGATGTTATGGCTCATGTAAGCATAACTTTTACTGCTGTGCTAACATAACATTCAGAAGGAAGCATAAGACAGCAGCATGCATCAAGAGCCAATAAACGCCAGGGGCAAAAAATAATCTTATCTCATATTATATATAGTATATGAAAGGAATTGACACAAATTGGATGTCAAGTTGACAAATAGATTCTATCATCACCACATTCAATACTTTTTTTTTACCTAGTCAAATTTCCGATTTAGAATGTCATTCAGGCACAACCTTCAGAGGAGCCTGCATGTGCTGGGGCTCGCTCCCTGTTGGCGGCCTCGTCCAGTCCAGACCAGAAGCCCATGGGCAGTTGATGGGCCATGGCCTTTGCTGTTGAAGAATCGGCATCGCCATGTTGGTATGACCCGTTCTGTTCCGTTTCGCCCTATCATATATTCATATCCCGTCCCGTGCCGACTGCCGAACCCGCCCCCTTCCCTGCCGGAGCCGAAGCGGAATACTCCTAGCCTTTCTTCAGATTCGACTCGATTGGATTTTTTATCCTCTCTCGCTCTTAACATTAATCGATTGGATTTTTTATCCATCGCTGCTGCTGCTAGGCATGGCAATGGCAGGAGCAGCACTCCTTCGATCTGTGGCCACCAAGATTGCTCGCCTTCCATCTGCTCTGGAGCGCCATGGCCGACTCCCAACAAGCTCCAATCGCCTCTGGTTTTCTAGCTTCTCTGCATCTACTGGTTCCACGCCGCCGTCAGCCAACCTCAGGGTACGCTGGCTGCTCCTCTTCTTTCATTTGATTTGGTAGCCTTTCGGTCGACATACAGGATAGTAATACTAGACAAATCATCTTACCCCCCCCTGTCTCACAGTCATCCACCCTGTTGTCATGTATATCTATCTAGCATACATTACATAAAACCTAAATTACTATTTAGTTTTCAATGTTGACATATTTGTTATCACATTGATGATCCTAGGTATTACACCACAGTATCGCATTCACATTTGATCCTTTAAATGAGATTACTATTGTTCTTATGATTCTACATGAAAAAAAAAATGAAATTGACTTGTGTCATGCCAGCTCTATGTGACCAACCTAGATACACATCGTGATCTTGATAGCCTTCATATTACTGGTATTGATAGAGCTAGTAATCTGGCTGATCTTTATTGATGAACTGGAAATGATTACAATGGCTAAACCTAGAGATAGCAGCAGCGATAGAGCAGGTTCGCCCTCCATGGGAGGCTCTGAATGAGATGGCTCTATTTCTCCTTAACTCCCCTAATCAGCCGGCCCTTTGTTATATCTCCCAATGGCCGGCTGGACACTAACAAACTGGCTCCCAGATCCTAACTTATAGGAAAAGATAACTATGGCCTAAAACTAGCCACTAGAGGCTGGCGCCTTCTTCTTCCTCCTGATGTATTGCTTCCCAATGAAAGCGTCTACAACACTTCCACCCTCCTTTCGAAACAGCTCGTCCTCGAGCTGGAATTTGGGATAGGTGGCCTTGAAATCTTCCAGCAGCTCCCAGGTTGAATCAGCTGGACTTCGACCGAGCCATTGCACCAAAACTTCCCACACACCATGGTTGAGGCGAAGCGCTTGGCAATGTGGATGGGCTCGGAGGAGCATGGCCATGGACAATCAGAGGTAGTGGAACAATGTCTGCAGGAGTGTTGCCATGGAACTTCTTCAGAACACCACGTGGAACACATTGTGGATGCGTGCCTTAGCGTGGAGCTGAGGCGGTAGGCCACCGAGCCAATGCGCTCGAGCACTGGAAGGGGCCAAGTAGCGGGCGCTTGAGCTTGGCATTCTGGCTGGACTGATAGGCTGTCTTGTTGGCATGGCTGGTGAAGGCGGAGCCACACCCGATCGCCCACACTTTGAAGACACATCCCAGTGTGCCGAGTCATGGCTCTGCTTCATGATACTCTGGGCTTGGAGGAGCCGTTCCCGGACAGCAGCCAGGAACTCATCCCTGGCCGTCAGCTGCTTGTCTAGTGCAGCCACCTTTGAGAGACCTGGCTGATACGAAGCCAGGGTGGGCGGTGGTCGACCATACACCACTTCAAACGGAGTTGCCCTCAATGCTGTCTGGAAGGATGAATTATAGCAGAACTCTGCCCAGGGCAGCCAGCTCCGCGGACGATCGCCGGCGAGGCAGCGAAGGTAGACGCCGAGAATACGGTTGGTGACCTCTGACTGACCATCAGTTTGGGGGTGGAAGGCAGAGCTGAGGCGCAGCGTGACGCCAGACAGGCGAAAGAGCTCGGTCCAGAAGGCGCTGGTAAAGACCGGGTCCCTGTCGCTGACGATGGAGCATGGCAGCCCGTGGAGCCGCACAATCTGGTCGAAGAACGCCTGGGCAACAGAGGTGGCGCTATAGGGGTGGCCGAGGGCGATGAAATGTGCATACTTGGAGAAGCGATCAACCACCGTGAGAACCACCGATTTGCCTCCGACCTTGGGAAAGCCTTCAACAAAATCCATGGCGATGTCGGCCCAGACGGTGTGGGGAACGTCCAGCGGCTGCAGCAGGCCGGCTGGATGGAGATGCTCCGTCTTGTTACGCTGGCAGACGGTGCAGCCCTGCACGAAGTCGCGGACAAGACGGCCGACGTGCGGGCTGTCGAAGGAGGCGCGCAGGCGGTGCAGCGTCTTCTGTACGCTTTCATGGCCGGCGTCGAGAGCTGTGGCCAGGATCTGGGGCCATAGAGCCGACGTGTCGGGGACGAAGATGCGGCCACGATGCAGGACGAAGCCATCGACGGACGTCCAGTTCGCCCCAGCAAGGCCCTGGTTAATTTCCTGGTGCTTGGCGATGATATCCGGCAGCGTCTCGGCCTCCGCTCGGAACTCGTGGAACAGATCGAAGTCCGGCCGGGAGAGTGCGCAGGTTGTTAGTGCTGCGGTGTCCTCATCACGGCGTGACAGGGCATCAGCAACCGCGTTTTGGCGGCCGGGCTTGTACTCCACCTTGAAATCGTAGCCAAATAGCTTGCTGACCCATGTGTGCTGCGGGATGGTGGAGAGGCGCTGGTCCAAGAGGAACTTGAGGGCGAAGTGGTCGGTGCGGATCGTGAATGGTCGTGCCCAAACATACGGCCGCCAGTGCCGCACGGCCTTCACCAATCCGATGAGCTCGCGCTCGTAGGCAGCCAACTTGGCATGCTGTGGCGCCACGGCGTGGCTGAAGAACGCGATTGGTCCTGCGCTCTGGTGGAGGACAGCGCCGAAACCAGAGCCCGAGGCGTCGCAGTCGATGACGAAGGGCGCCGTGAAGTCGGGAAGCTGCAGCACCGGACCGGAGGTCAGTGCTGACTTGAGCATGTCGAAGGCGGCGGTGGCGGCGTCACTCCAGCGGAAAGCATCCCGCTTCAAGAGGGCCATGAGCGGGGCTGCAATGACGCCGTAGTTGTGGATGAAACGGCGGTAGTAGCCCGTGAGGCCGAGGAAGCCACGCAGCGCGCGGAGGGTTCGCGGCATGGGCCAGCTCTGCACCGCTTCAATCTTGGCCGAGTCCATGGCCACCCCTGCCTCGGAGATGAAGTGGCCCAGGTACTCCACCCGACGCTCCGCGAATGAGCACTTGGAGCGCTTTAGGAACAGGCTGTGGGCGCGCAGTGTGGAGAGGACAGCACGGATGTGTTGCAGGTGTGCAGCGAACGACGTGCTGTAGATGAGAATATCATCAAAGAACACGAGCACAAAGCGGCGAAGGAAGGGGCGGAGAACCTCGTTCATAAGGGACTGGAACGTCGCCGGGGCATTGGTCAAGCCGAAGGCCATTACCACGAACTCAAAATGCCCATGATGAGTTCGGAACGCCGTCTTGTGGATGTCATCGGCGTGCATGCGGACTTGGTGATATCCGCTGCGAAGATCGAGCTTGGTGAAGTAGGTGGCACCGCGGAGTTCGTCAAGAAGCTCGTCGACGACGGGAATGGGGAAGACGTCGCGCACTGTTTTTGCATTGAGCGCGCGATAGTCGATGCAGAACCTCCATGAGTTGTCCTTCTTGCGCACGAGGAGGACGGGCGATGAGAACGCCGAGGTGCTTGGACGGATGATGCCCTGCTAGAGCATGTCGGCGCACTGCCTCTCCAGCTCATCTTTGAGCAGCTGGGGGTAGCGGTAGGGCCGTACTGCAATCGGGGCCGTGCCTGGTAGGAGATGAATCCGATGATCACAGGCACGAACTGGAGGCAGTGACGACGGCGTGTCGACGATATCGCCGAACTCAGCCAGGAGCAGTTGGAGGAGGTCCAGGCGCTCGGCGGCGTGGAGAGCAGGGGCCCTGGGGGCTGTGACGCCAGTCCAGCGAATGCGGCGATCCCGGCGCCAAAACACCATGGTCTGGCGAGCGAGGTCCCAGAGGATGGGGCCCAGGGACCGGAGCCAGTGGCAGCCCAACACGAGCTCGTAGTCGGGGAGGGGCAAGACGAAGAGGTCGACGTGGAACTCCTCGGTGTCAATGGTGACAGGGACGGCGGCGCATACCCCGGCAGATGGGACGCGTTCCCCGTTGGCAACGCCCACGGTGAGGCCGGGGCGCGGCGCGGGCTGGAGGCCGAGGCGACGTGCAGTATCCGCGGCGATGAAGGAGTGAGTGGATCCCGAGTCCACCAGAGCCCGGATGGATGTGCCTGCGACGGATGTGGCCAGGTGCATGGTGTCCGCCGTCTTGATGCCGGTGAGGGTGTGGATGGAGATCTCGACGTCGTCGGTAGGGGAAGACTCCTCCACCGCAGCGTCCTCAACTGGTGTATCATCATCGAGCTCCATCAGGTACAGGCCCTTCTTCATGCAGGCATGGTCCTTCGTGAATTTTTCTGGACAGTTGAAGCAGAGGCCCTCTGCTCTGCGTTGGGCCATCTCTTGCTGTGTCAGCCGCTTGAAGCGCGGGCCTGCTGGAGGTGGGCCTTTGGTTGGAGCCGGCGGCGTCTGCGGCACAGTTTTGGCCGCGGGAGGAGGCGTGTGCGGTGCGGAAGTCGCGGGCAGGGCGCGCGGCCGAATCGGCGGGTTGGTGCGGGTGGGGACGCGGCTCGTAGAGGAGTCCTCGTCCTCGTCCAACTCCAGGCGCCGTTCGAAAGCCCGCGCGAGGGCCATGGCGTCATCGAGCGTGGTCGGATGTTGGAGCTCGACGTCCGTCTGTAGCGGATTGCGGAGGCCGCCGGTGAAGATGTCGATTTGGTCCTGCTCCTGAAGCGGCCTGCAGCGCGCGAGCATGGGCAAGAACTGCGCCTTGTACTCCTCGACCGTCCCTGTGCGGCGGAGCTTCATGAGGGCGTCGAGCGGGTTGCTGCGCGCCGGCGTCCCGAACGCCCGCTGCATCTTGTCAACGAAATCTGGCCACGTTGGAGCGCCGTGGTTCTGCTCCAGGCGGTAGTACCAGTCCTGGGCCGCGCCTTCCATGTAGAAGGAGGCGAGCCACATGCGCTCGTCATCCGCCGTGCGATCGGCGTGGAAAAACTGCTCCGCCTTGTGAAGCCATGTGACCGGATCGGTGCTGCCGTCGTAGCGCGGAAACCGGAGCTTGTGCTTCCCGTGCTTGCGTGGGGGTGGTGGGGGAGGGGCGCCATGCTCCGTGTCCTTGCCACTGTGGGAGCCGCCGGAGGAGTGGTGGTCCGATTGCAATCGGTTGACGGCCACGTTGAGACGGCTTTGGTCGCCCTTGATCGTCGTCACCTCGTTCTTGATGGAGGAGAGATCGGCGAGGATGGCATCCAGAGTGGTCTTGAGTTCGTCACCCATGACAGGCGAGAGGATCGAGAGGTCTCTGATACCAGATGGTAGAGCTAGTAATCTGGCTGATCTTTATTGATGAACTGGAAATTATTACAATGGCTAAACCTAGAGATAGCAGCAGCGATAGAGCAGGTTCGCCCTCCCTGGGAGGCTCTGAACGAGATGGCTCTATTTCTCCTTAACTCCCCTAATCAGCCAGCCCTTTGTTATATCTCCCAATGGCCGGCTGGACACTAACAAACTCACTAACAAACTGGCTCCCAGATCCTAACTTGTAGGAAAAGATAACAATGGCCTAAAACTAGCCACTAGAGGCTGGCGCCTTCTTCTTCTTCCTGCTGTATTGCTTCCCAATGAAAGCGTCTATAACAGGTATTCATGATGCTCTTTGTTCTATTATATGTTTCTTTAGGGTCCTCCAACTTATAACAAGAAAGTTCCTAGTGGCAATGAGTGGGACTGGTAAGACTTCTCTTTCCAATTTCGATATCTATCTATAAAGAAATGACTGGTAAGTGTTCCTTACAGAACGAATTGTCACTTGCATTTGTCACTTTCAGTTTTAAAGCCGGATTCATAGGTGCTGCACCCACGGCAGCTTACTGCCTGGTGTTCGGTGGCTTCACATTTATATATTTTTATGTCATTCCGACACTAGACCGTATAGACGCCAAATTGGATGCCTTTAATAAAGAGATGAAGCTGCAACGAAATGTAAGGAGACATGCAGCTCTCGATTCCATGGGAAGTCAGATTGAAGCTAGAGATATAGTGGGCGAGTTTTCGAAAGGCCAAAGGATACAAGCATCGGGTATTAGTCTTATATACTCTTCATTTTTGCTTGCTGCCCATACGCGTATTGAGTTTCAAACATTGTCATCTTTGATCAGTGACTAAACTAACACAAAAAGTTTACCATTCATTTGCAATTTGAGATTACTTCCCAAGGTCCATCATTCTTTTAGGAATAATAAATATGAAATCAGTGTTCACAATTCGGTTGCACTTACATTTTGAAATGGATGCAGCAATAATCCGAGGGAAACTATTGCTTAACAGAAAATGATATTTGATGACCTGTTTTTGTACAAATGTAAATTATTAGTCATTAGATGACCTACTATTGTACTACACACTACCATTTTAGAAAGTGCATGGCGTCTATATCATATCTAGTCTGGTGGCGTAAGATGTTAATTAATTTGTTCAATTAAATGGTTCTGGTGCGTAAGTTTATATTGGGTTAGAAACGCAATTGGTTTCGTTTTAGCTATTGTGCATCAACTACATAGGCTGTGTTTCACTTTTCAGCAGTGCAATTGCTAACTTTTGTTGTTCTGTGCAACATCTAGGACAAGGTAAGGAGCATCTGTGATGCCAAGCAGAAAGGATAAGGAAGACAAGAAAGGCTATGAAGTTGACAATGGAGGACAAAGACGAGCAACATATGTGTGATTTTGTGTTTTTGTTTGTGATAATAATTGGTTATCAAAGACAAGTGTATCTCCCCCTTTGCTGAGTGGTGATGAAAATGGTTTGTGACAAGTGTCTCTCCAGTATCTGTTACCTGTGCGGCTTTAGTAAAAATATCTTCCAATGCCCTAGACATGATGAATGAATCTAAGCAAGAAATTGTCACATGTACGGATTTGATTACTTTCCTTATCCTCTCCTATAGCAAATCCTGACCTGTTTGGTTAGTGGTTCCTTTTAGGTCAATCGGAAGGTAGGGATTGGATGACCATATGGCCTTGAGTCGATCGGAGTACATGTTCATTTTCGGATGGCCCTGAGGTGGCTGAACTAGTGATTGATCACCTTACTGGACTTGTATATAGTTGTTTAATTGCCAGGCCAACTGGCCTCTGCATGTGTTTCCTACTGATAGCCGAGTACCAAAAAGTTCCATTCATGTAACTTGAGAAGGTTCAGAAATCAGAACCAATGAGCAAATCTCGTCCTATGCCTAATGCTGACAACCCCAAAACATAGCAGTTTTAGTACCAGGTTTCCATTCAGTAAGCGATTAGCAAGTGAAAATCAGGCACTGCAAATTTTTCAGGAGATGCAGCCTCACAGCAGTGAAAACGTTTAATCAGTGATGCGCTCCCCAGACACCAGGCACAGATTTGGCATTTGCCATTGAGCTACATTCAGTTTCAACAAGTAAACCGAATTCAGAAAACTGAAACCAAACAATTTTTTAGGTTCAACCCTCCGTCGCACATACAAAATACCCACTGAATCTCAGAAACAATCGCATGGTGAGAATCAATTCCTTACAACCCATTCGATCAACCTCTTAACTGACATCTTGTTGATATGATATACGAATCAGCTTACACCTTTCAACAGTTGAGTAAAGATCGGACAAAATGAAGAAATACACTAGCAAAATTTCTGCAGATAGCATCTTTCTAATTTCCAACCCTCCCTGGTACATGGCCACATGCAGAATACCAAAAACTGTCCCAATCAAGACAGCAAGTGCGCCCGTGTTTACAGGAAACACAAGCTTAATTAAGAGGAATCATCAGCTCCTAGGTGCATCAAGCCTTCTTTGTAAACTTCGAAGTCATCACACGACCAGCGGCACACAAGGTATAGACGGAATGCTGCCATCTGTATCCCAAGCAACCACTGCAAGAGAGAAATCAAAGTGGAGTCAAAGAAAAGAAATAGGCCAGTTGCTGGATTTCAACAGTTAAGATAGAGATGGGCAAATCGAAATGTACTACTAATGGAGTACTCTAATGAAGAGCAGATGACAGTAAGAACGAATTGGCTATTAATGTCTCATGTAAACTCATGAACCAAGGTATTCAACTTTAAGATGTGGTGTAAAATGTAATTATAGTAAAAATGAAAGATGCTCCTCTTAGTTCAATCAAGCTCATTTTAAATCATATATGCAGCTAAGCATGCATAGTAACTCTACAGGATGACCTTACCAGAGTTTGTGCAGCTTCTGGCGAAAGGGGTTTCCCTTCCTCACAAACAACATGATCTGCAACTAACTCTACAACACCTGCACAAACAAAGCTGAACTTTTTAACCAATTTGCTTGCAGATTCACGAATATGTGTAGATGCAGGTGGCAACTACAAACCATTGTTCAGGCGAACTGGCAGTCCTTGCTTGCGTAGAAAAGGTTCCATTTCATGTGTAAACTGTTCCAGAGGACCTTCCTTAAGCTCCACCTAAGGCATTGTGAAAATATCTAAATTTGGTCAAACACATTATACAAGAAAATGCTACTAACATCAAGAAGAATAACAAAATATAAAATAACAATGTTCATGTGCAGGCTCTAATGAGAGATTGCAAATAAGTTACTCTGATTGCTGGTGATTCTAATACTCCATTACCAATATGTTTTAAAAAACAGGAAGCGCACAAACTTGCTGTTGGTTGCCGGAGGGGAATGTATGCCTAAACATTGCCGTCCTGGTCGCGCCCCACCCCGTCCGACTTCGCCTGGCACGGCCGCCGGTACTCGAGGAGATCCTCCCCAGATCTGGCGAGGAGCGCAGGCAACCCGGCATGGGACGAGCATGCCGGCGATAGCGGATTGCGCACCAGTTCTCTCCACTGACCCAGCTCAAAAAGGTCGGCATGTTCTAGCAACTACCGTATTCCCTCTGCATCCGGTTCTTTTGCCCTCGCTGTTCCTCCGTTTGCCAGTGTGTCTGCATTAGCACGTTCCTGTGTGTCTGCATTAGCACGTTCCTCGGCTCGGAGGCCCAGGACGAAGCATATGCTAGAGGCGGCCACCGGCAAAAGCGTGCTTCTCAGCCTCCGGATGGCGGCGCTTCCCATACAAGGTGCCTGTCCACTACTTGGCTTCACAGAACGTCTGCATCGTGCATGGGTGTCATACTGCCATGGCAAACAATGGGGCAGCCCGTCAGGGAGGTGCCGGAAGACGAAGCAGCGCTGCGTTCTGCAGTATACTCCGGTGGAGGGACATACAGTTTTTCACCGGCTACAGCAACCACAGTATTTACTTGCTGCCTATTAAATAAGTATTACTGCTTTCATCCTAATTTACTCAAGTGGACAAAAAGATGTATCTATAACTGTAATCAAGGGGTAAGGATATAGCAATTTCAAATTGATATTAATAATGCCAATGCCAAATTTAGGCACTTAACAGGGGATCGAGATTATTACCTATAAATTTTAGGATTAAGTCCAATTTACACCCACCAACTTGCACCAAAGTTCGGATTTCAACCTCAAACTTCAAAACCGGACAACTTTGGCTCTCCAACTCTCGAAAAAGTTCAATTTTCAACCTTCTGTGCGGTTTTGCGGGTGAACAGTAACTTTTAATATTTTCGGGAGACGCTGAAATTTTATATTATTTTTTGAGCATGATGACGTCCTCAAATTTCAAAAAATAGAAAACCCTACAATAGATGTCGGATGAAGATAATTTTAGGTGTAAATTTTAGACCTAAAATTGAGATCCTACAACTTTGTATTGAAGGTTTTTCTATTTGAGGAAATTAAGATGCTCAAAAATAAAATAAAATTTTAGCACCATATTTTATCGAGTGATGAGACTCAAATTTCAAAAAATAGAAAACCCTTCAATACGATGTCGGATGAAGATAATTTTTATATGTAAATTGTAGACCTCGATGAGATCTACAACTTTGTAGTTTTGAGTTTTTTCATTTGAGGAAAGTAAGATGCTCGAAAAAATAATATAAAATTTCAGCGTCTCCCGAAAATATCAAAAGTTACTGTTCACCAGCAAAACCGCCCGGAAGGTTGACACTTGAACTTTTTCAAGAGTTGGAGGGCCAATGTTGTCCGGTTTTGAAGTTCGAGGTTGAAATCCGGACTTTGGTGCAAGTTGGAGGATGTAAATTGGACTTAACCCTAAATTTTAATATGATTAGGTACAAATGCTGATCCCATGATAAATTTGACATAATGGTACAAAATTTCAGAGTGTTGAAACTTTTTGCTGCAGCTAATTGACATTATCAGGGATGTAATTCATGGGAGACAACCACAACAATTTGAAATATGGATATCTGTCATGTATGGTATCTTTTTCTGCTTACATTGCGGAGCATGTTATTCAGAACTAAGAGTTAGTATCGTCATACCACCGGTTGATAAGACAAACTAAAAGAACTATAAAGCAATTAAAAAGAAAAAAAATGTCACTCTAAGATTGCTGCATACTAAGTATGTTGTTTCCAAGAGAGATATTTGATGATTCCACAGGCTGAGGATGAATCCTTCATTGTAGAGAAACCTGGTATCCTTTTATCACTGTCTCAGCGTGCAAAGATTTTTGTGCTACTCCAGTCCTTTTAATATTGATCAAGGTGCAAGTTTAACCCCGAGTCCATTAGTCAGTTCACATATCAGCTTCAAGATTTTTTTCCCCAAATGTTTCAATCACCTTCATATTGTTACATACATATCCTCATTTCTCATAGGCTTAGGGGAAAAAATAGTATCACCTGCAACCAAGCCAACGGTGTAATATGCACTTATGCAGGTTGCTAATGTAGCAACATAAACTTTAAATATCATCCCAGTTTTTGCATTCTTTAAATATCACCCCTTGGTTTTGCTTTGGTACAAATGCATATTATAATCTTTTACAAAAAAAAAAAACAGATTAGCGAAGATAAACCTTGGAAATTGTGTTGTGCTATCTGGGAGATTGTACACCTGAATCCAAGCAATTTCTTCCCAAAAAGGTTTATCTTTCCTGTAGTACCTCCATGCATCTTCCAACGTCAGTGGTGTGCGGTTCGAAACTCTAATCCTCTTAATGAAAAACGGATAACAACCCGGTCGGGGAAAAAAATTATGCATATACTGAGCACACAGTCTCAACATACTCACAGGTCACCTGTTTCAGAGTTTCAAGTTCACTATGCAGCATAACAAAGTTTGTTGATACGTGTAACCTGTGCAAAATTGAATATTGCTTGGAAGGATAAAATTGATGACCGAAGCAGAAGTAAAAGTAGTTGATGTCCACTATAACATTTGGACAGAAAGACATTGTAACAGGCAAGACAAGTGCATGCCTGCTAGAGGATTTTAGCTGCTCCCTTAGGTACTTGAGCTTCTGATTCCTCATGTTATCGTAGGTAAAAACATAAGCACTGATGTATTTGTCGACAGCATCTTTTATCTCGGCGACTACTTTGCCCTTGCGCTCTAAACCCGGCTTCTTCTTGGTCTTTGATAAGGTCACTGCATCCAGCGAGCAGAGAGTCAGGTGCGCATTAGCATAATTTACAGCAACGCTACTGTGTGCCACCCTGTTCACTTGAGCTACTTTTTAGCCATGGAACAGTGTTTTCCTCTCACAACATTTCAGCATAAGCCAAATTTCAGCATAAGCAAACAAAAATTGGTACGAATGCACAGAAAGAGTTCAAACAATGTAAGAAGCATGTGGCTTAGGTGGCTTAAGATGGTCACTGGAAACAAGAGTTCAAACAATCCTTGGAGGAGGATAAGGGTGACAAGAAAAGATATGGAACTCACAATGGAGGTCAAAGACGAGCAACTTATGTGTGATTTTTTGTTTTTGTTTATGATAATTGATTATCAGAAACAAAATTGTATCTTCTTTGTTGAGCGGCGACAAAAATGGTCTGTGATAGCATCTGTTACCTTCATGACTGTAATGAAAATAGTTTCCAATGATCTAGACATGATGAATGAATCCAAGGAAGTAATAACCTGAACATTGTCACATCCCATAGCAAATCCTGATCTTCTCGGTTACTGGTACCTTTTAGGTAAGGGCAGGGTAGGGGTTGGATGATGATGGTCCTGACTCCTGAGTAGATTAGATTGAAATCCAAAAACATGTTCATTTTGCAAGTCAAAATAAGTATCGGCACTGAGTACCCGATGCAGAGATAGAGGTTGAGGTGGGCTAAACCCTGATCGGAAAGATTTTTTCTTGCTTTCAAAAGGTCGGGAAGAGAGTAAGATTTAGTGATGGGATGCACTTTGTTTAGTGAAATATAAGAATTTGAATCCTGTACAGTCAAGGAGGTAGGAGCTCGCATTAGGACCGCCAAGCTTGCTACATCCGAGCTCACTACTGCATTGGAGTAAGCCCTTTTTTCCAGATTATACTCCAATAAAGGACAAGGAAATTAAGATTGTAGCTGAAATGTTAAGAGGATAAACTAGAATCAGGAACTACTGTTAGTGTTAGTTAAGTGTGCCATCATATATACTGTTGCAAGTTAGCTACTTGGGCTGTCTGGTCAAATCATTCATTCATATTCATATGTATGTATGTTTGGGGTCCAGAACCAACGAGCAAATCGTCTGTCCTGTTTCTAGTACTGATCGATTCCCATTGGCTACGCAGTGAGTCAGTCAGTGTAATAATCACACTCACCCAGTTAGTCACCACACGCAAAGGCAAGCAGGGTACATGTTTCTTTCTTCACGAGGTGCAGCATCACATTAGTGGAAACGTCTAATGACTGGAACCTAATAAGCCATACGTTCCACAGCTACCAGGCAGAGATTTCGCATTTGCCATTGAGCAACATACATTCAGTTGATCTCAGGACGAAACCAAACTCATCATGAGTAAAATGAAGTCAAACGATTGCTCTAGGTTCAAACTCTCTTCACACGTGCACAATACTACTCCCGGAATCTCATAAGCAATAATATAATACTACTCCCGGCAGCGCTTCTTCGATCTGTCGCGAGCAAGATGTCGCGCGCAGGCGCAGGTGCAGGCGAAGCCCCGACGCATCATCGTTCTCTTGTCGCGCGTGGACTGCATGGCGGGGCTCGCTCAGGGCCTGCTAACACCAACCAGGTCCAGGTATGCCCGCCCTGCCTTCAATCTGGGAGGTTAAGACCTAACTAACTGTATTATTTACTATTGCTACTATTGATGTGATCCAGCAAGGGACGGCCGATGTATTGGTGTCGGCGGGCATGGCCGCAGCAACCGGGCTTCGATCCGGAGCAGGGCGGCTGACGACCAAGATGGCACACGCACCG